TAGCAGATGTATCACAAACACAACTTCAAGGAAAAAATGATGTTATCCTGGAGTTCCATGTCGATGATACAACTGGAGCTAATGAGGTTTGTTTCAGCAGTTTAAATTCATTTGATGGTCATGGTCCTGATGCAACCTAGTGGAAACAAAATTCAGGCTTTATTAGTGCATAATTACAATTCATAAGAGCCGTTCATTTGATTAAGATAGCTTCTTATGGAGAAATGCTACTGTGTTTCTGAATATGTTTTTGTTTATTATTGATGACAGAAAGATTCATTGATGGAGATAAGTTTTCACATCCCTAATTCCAACACCCAATTTGTTGGTGATGAGAATCATCCACCAGCTCAAGTGAGTTTGTTTCTTGTTATTTATTAGTCTCTCTCTCTCTCTCTCTTTTTGGTTAAAATCTTGTGACTTTTAACTGATATCTGGTCAATAAACCATGTGTTAGGTATTTCGTGATAAAATCATGTCAATGGCTGATGTCGGAGCCGGAGGTGAAGAAGCTGTTGTTACGTTTGAGAGTATTGCTATCCTCACACCAAGGTTGATGTTCATATAAAACTAAGATTGTGAAAATGCATTGTGCTGACATTAATTTGAATCATCCTTTTGCAGTTTTATTTATAGATTCATCTCATAAGCTGGATCTTTTCTTGTTCTTGTTCACTTCATTTTTCTCTGATGGGTATATGATTTATTCAGGGGTCGGTATAGTGTTGAACTTCATCTTTCATTCTTGCGGCTACAAGGACAGGCTAATGACTTTAAAATTCAGTACAGCAGTGTTGTCCGCCTCTTTTTACTTCCAAAGGTATAATTTCTTTTATTCTTTCGGCACTCATGGTACAAGAGTACTGATGACAGTCATTCATTCATATTTCTTTTAATTCCTCCACGTATTGACAAATAATTGATTTGTTTATAACCACTGTAGTTGTTCAATAATATATCCACATAAAGACTGACGTGGGCTTATCTTGTGTTTAAACAGTCTAACCAGCCTCATACCTTTGTTATTGTTACTCTTGATCCACCAATTCGTAAAGGTCAAACGTTGTACCCACATATCGTTTTGCAGGTATTGTTGGGTTCATTTGATTTTGCCAGTTCTTTGCTAGTTTTAAGTGTAATAATTTTGTTTTTCATTTGCACAGTTTGAAACTGATTATGTGGTTCAAAGTGAGTTGTCGTTGAGTGAAGATCTTTTGAACACAAAGTATAAGGACAAATTAGAACCATCATATAAGGTAATTGCTCTTTTTATAAGTCAATTTCTTACATCTGGAGCTACATCTTGGTAGTGCTTTGCTATGGCTTTGGGTGTATACAAATGTTACAGGGACCTGGGCTTGTGACTTAGTGTGTGAACTATACTGTATATGATTAACTTCTTTAAACAAACAGGGACTAATTCATGAGGTGTTCACTACGATATTGCGTGGTTTATCTGGTGCCAAAGTTACTAAACCGGGAAAATTCCGTAGTGCTCAAGATGGTTATGCGGTGAAGTCATCATTGAAAGCTGAAGATGGTGTATTGTATCCCCTGGAGAAGAGCTTCTTTTTTCTACCCAAACCACCTACCCTTATCCTTCATGAGGAGGTACATCTTTTAATCTGTCGTACTCATTACAATGGATAAGTCTTGCTATCAATGGAGGCTGACCTTTTGTAACTATTTTTCTTGCTAGATTGACTATGTGGAGTTTGAGAGGCATGCTGCTGGTGGCTCAAATATGCATTACTTTGATCTTCTTATCAGGCTTAAAACCGAACAAGAACATTTGTTTCGCAACATTCAGAGAAATGAATATCATAATCTCTTTGACTTTATCAGGTTTGTATGAACTACTCATCTTCTTACATGGATTAGATCATTGAGCTGTCCAAATTTGAATTTTATTTATTTTTATTGTGTAATTTTTTATGCAGTGGGAAGGGCTTGAAAATTATGAACCTCGGAGATATTAAAACTGCAGATGGTGTGGCTGCTGTCCTTCAGGAGGATGATGATGATGCAGTTGATCCACATCTTGAGAGAATTAGGAATGAAGCTGGTGGTGATGAGAGTGACGAAGAGGTAAACTCCTCAATTCATTACAACTTTAGGTGATGAAGTTTTCTTACACTTATGTTTGGGTTCATATTATTCGTCAATAGCTGTGTGGCCTGCATCTTTGGCAATAAGTTCATACATTTTTAATCAATTGTAAGCATACCTCTCCGTATGTTCAAGTTTAATCATTCTGTGGTAGTTATATTGGTTAGGGATCCTGAATGTTTTGGTAAAGTCGTATTAACTTCCCCCCTGTCCCTCTTTCTATTTTCTTCTTGATTTTTTTTTGAACGAATGTGTTTCGTTTCTGCATATTCCTATTGATATGTTTATTGTCAGTTATCTGCAAATCCCATATAGTATGTGTGTTTATAAAGAATTGCTGAAATTATGCAGGATGAAGACTTTGTTCTTGATAAGGATGATGAAGGCTCTCCAACTGATGATTCTGGGGAGGAGGATTCCGATGCTAGTGATAGTGGAGGAGAGAAAGAGGCAAGCTGTTCTATTCATTGACTTCTTTACTGAATTTATTATTATGTCAAATTTTATTCTCTGCTCACATCAAATGAATTATTTCTTCCAGAAGCCTGTCAAAAAGGAATCCAAAAAAGAGCCATCATCATTGAAGGCATCCAGTTCAAAGAAGAAATCCAGAGATGCAGATGAAGACAGTTCAAAGAAGAAAAAGCAGAAAAAGAAAAAGGATCCAAATGCGCCAAAGAGGGCAATGTCTGGTTTCATTTTCTTCTCGCAAATGGAAAGGGAGGTGGGTTTGTAGTAATACCCTGTAACTCTGGTCTACAGTTTTACATTCACAGTTAACTTAAACATGTCAAAACAACTTTTTGTTCGTAGGAGTAATTATGTGAACCTAGCAGTCAAGTCTATTTTCTCATTAAACTATTAAATCTGTAAATTTATTCAACATTTTTGAGTGATGGTTAGTGTTTGACAGTGTTGCATTTTGAATAAGGATATTTAATAATTCATTTGCTGATTTTGTTGTGCTGTTACAGAATATAAAGAAAAGTAATCCAGGAATTGCTTTTACTGATGTTGGAAGAGTTCTTGGAGATAAATGGAAGAAGATGACAGGTATTTAATAATTGATTTTGGTGTAACGTTTCTTGCAGTTCCTCTCCATCTTTACGCAGTTCCTAATTATTACAATTTGTCATCTGTCTGTGATACTCATTATGCATTTTTTCTGTCTGTAGCGGAGGAGAAAGAACCCTATGAAGCGAAAGCTCGTGCTGATAAAAAACGTTATAAGGATGAAGTCAGTGGTTACAAGAACCCCAAAGCAATGGATATTGATTCAGGCAAGGACTCCGATGATGAATAGATATCAAACAGAAAGAAGCACAAAACCATTATCTCAGGACACGGCGAGCAGCTGGGATTCTGGTTTTATGGCATAATTAACTGTAAGTTAATTCTGTAACTCATCTAGATGGATGGGTTTTTTCATCTGCTAAGTTTCTGGAGCGATAAAGTTAATATCGGTGATTCTAAGGAAGCATGTACTAGCAGAAAAAATCTGTAGTTCCAGATTTTGTTTTATGTAGTTTTAAAATCGCCTATGATGGCGAAAAACCCATCCTTTGGATGTATAGTTTCCTGCTAGCACCAGTGGTTTTAAGAAGTTTCTGAATATAGTTATGAAAATATTTTGTCTCATGAGATTTAAATTTGCTTTCATTTTTCACGTTGTTTGATCATCTTCTTCATTAAATAAAAAATGGAAACACTTTAGTTGTCATAGGAGCCAATGTTTCAAAGTTTAAGTCAATTAAAGGTAAAATCTTGGTGGAATAATAAATCAAATTCAAATTTCTGAAAAGGGATTTATTATTTTTGTTCCATTTTGTTGTTCGGTTAGGCTAACCTTTCAAGTGATTCTTCTCAATTTTATACCCAACTTTTGATATAAGCGTTGGATTACTATTTAGTATTTACTATACAAAGAAAGAGAGGATATTCTTAATGAAAGCAAGATAAAGATCAGCTAAGGGTCTCACTCTCACGTGTTCTTTATTTTAATGAGCATCTTTCGTATAAATAAAAAAATATTTTTATTAATTTCTAAATATAAAAAATAACATTTTTATTCAAATTCAATGAACTCTTTAAATTTAACGAAGATATTCTTTATTTTCAAGAAAAAAACTTAATATGAGAGAAAATTTATAAATAAAATACATAGAAATTTGTAATTTATTAATTAAAATTAAGATCGAGAGTGAAATTTAACTCTGTAGATGTGGAGAACCAAACCTACTCTTTAATTTATATTTAAATGATAAATAGTCTGTTGGACTCTTGTTTTTATAGATAAACTTTTTATAATAAAGAGTTTAAGTCATATAAAGAGTCTATTGGAGATGCTCTTGGAGGAGAAATGAATAATTTTTATTTTGAATTGTTGAAGAAAGAAAAGGAAAAAAAAATTGAAATAGTCAATTTCATGGAATATTCAATTTTTTATTATATTGGACTACTCTTTATCAAACCTTTTTTTCTTTGTTTTTTGTTTTCCAAGAAAATTAGATCATTTAAAAAAAAAAAAATGGATGTGGAAAACGAACAGGCAAAATGACAAAGAATGAGGATTTATAAATTCTGTTCCATAAATTTAAAAAAAAAAAATAGAAAAAAAATTTATCATTTATTTCATTGATTGGAGCTTGAAATAGTACAAAGATATTCAAATATATTTTTGGTTGATACAATAAATGAAAAAAAATTGACTCTTAAAAATGAAATAAATGAAAACTCAACTATACATTAAAGTGACTATCATTATACCCCCCAATTGAAAACAATACAAAACACTTCTCTAAAACATTTTTATTTAACGAGAAGTCTTCTTTTTAGTAAATTAATATACTTGAAAAATCTTTATCAATTTCAGCAGCAGTTATTTAATACATCTAACATTTCTCTCCAATCTTGCAATAAAGTGCCCCGGCATATCGAGTGAGCCTGTTGGCTCTTGTTCCTGACTTGGCTTTTATCAACTCTCTCCTGGGGAAATTCAATTTGGCATTTATGTCCCCAGATGTGTTGAAATATGCTCCATTCATGAACAGATCTTCCTCTGATCTCCATAGCCAGTGCTTCCATTCATCAACGGAAGCGTAGTTCCTATTCGTCACCTGTACAGAGAGATTCGAATATGAGACCTTTTTAACTGTAAAGTTCAGTTGAACACGGATGAATTTTACGTGGAGGGATTTTATTTACCGATTTCGCTTTGTTGTCATCCGGGGCGATGAACCTGTTGCCCTGGCTGATAATGGTGGGATTTTTGCTGCCACCAATTGCATACATTTGCCAATGGGTGTAGTCATTGTTCACCACATGGAAGAATCCCAATCTGCACCTTGGCATTCTCTGAATTAGTCCTTGTCCGAAATGGTTGAATGCAATTGTCACTTGCATCAATGAATCAGGTGAGTAGGCATCACTTGCTCCCAACAATATCACCTGCATTACAAGTAGGAAATTATATCAATATCATAGAACGAACGATCGGTTTTTCATGAGCGAAAAAGGGGATAATATTATGATTATTACATCATTATGCTTGGTAAAGTGGCAATTTGAGATGGTAATAGCAGTGGAGCCTTGGATGGCATCAATGAGTCCATCTTGGCATTGAGACATAGAAAGATGATCAAGCCAAATATTACATGAACCAAAGATGGAAATCCCATCTCCATCACTTGAAGTCCTCAGTCCAACATGATCCTGAGAGTCTCTAATGGTGCCACCGCTCGCGGGGACAATGTGATGAATGTGAATTCCATGGATGATTACATTCTTGACATACTGTATAGTGATTCCAGCTCCAAAAGCAACGTGCACATCAGCTCCTCTTCCATCAATCGTTTTGTCGCTTGTCATAATCAATTCCTGATTCAACCTGATGTTCATATCATTAGCAAAGATGATCCACAAGGGTCCGTTCTGAACCACAGCGTGCCTCAAAGTCCCTGGTTTTGGATCCACAAGATTGTCATCGGAACAATCAGTGACTACATAAATTGGCCCTCCTTCTCCTCCTGTTGTATTGTAGCCAAAACCTTTCACACATTTGGCCAGTCTTTGGCGATTTTTCGCCCAATTTTCCTTGCATCTCCAGCACCTATCAATGGGGTTGGTCGCCTTGCAGGGACCGCCCTCTCTTCTATGTGATATCCTGGTCTTAAACAAGCCCCTCCTCGTGCTAGTCTTGTCCTCCGAGGAACTATAAATATAAACATATAAATTTAGTAAAAGAAACGAGAAATAAATGACAGTTACATTTATAACATGAAACGAATTAGTTAATATAATTACTTATGAACAATCAAGTTAAAGTCATTCGTGACAGATAGAGGATCGGGGTGGTATGCTTGAAGCGTTGCTTCCATGGCTTCCTCAGCGCGACGTCTCCATACATCATCAAACTTGGCAATGTTGGCCGAAAGGCGGGGGATCAAGCAGGCCAAAGAGAAGAAAAACACCAGCTTTAACTTAGCCAACTCCATTGTTGCTAACTTGGGTAAATAACTAAACTTAATTAGTTTCTAATGATTTTCAATACTGTTTCTTTTTATTTTTTTTTGGTTTCTACCAGATGGGTAAAATCCTGAAAGGTCTAGGAATGAACCTTCTTCCTTCTGTGGTTCAAACCCACCTAGACAATTGTTCGTGATTTAAAAGCTTGGTTTTAGAGGATTCAAGGTTGTGATTTTATACTTATTTTCTCAACCAATTGGCTCTAAAATTAACTACGCAGAAGGTGGAGAGCCATCATATTGTAACTGTTATTAGAGTTAATGACATTAAACTTCCGAGGTTTTCGAAATAATAGAAATCTCTCTATCATTCAAACTTACTATATTACAAGTTAGTAAATAGTTTGAATACTTCCGTTATTTCGGAAACCTCAAGAAAATTTTGTTATTATATCATACCTATGGAGACTAATGTCTTTTAACTCTTATTATTAATCAAAGCTTAATGAATTAAAGATGTCATTAACTAAATACTAAGACTTGTTATATATTTTTATACATAACCACAGTGTATTTGAGTAAAAGCACTTAAAAAAAAGTGCTTATAAGGTGCTTTACTTACCTTTAAATTAAGTGATAAATGTAAACCCTTCAGGTTTACCCTACATGACCCTCTAATTAAATATTATTATTATATTATTTTCTAATATTAATTACTGGGAATGTTGGATTACTGAAAAGATAGATTACCTTGAAGATTACTAGAAATCTTTAGGAAAATATGTTTGGTTAATTGGTTGATATGTTATATTAATATGTTTGGTTGGGAGGAATAAATTGGTGGGTATGTTATTTAAATTATTGAATTGTCCTCTAATTAAATATTATTATTATATTATTTTTTAATATTGATTATTATTTGTATTATTATAACCCTTCTACATTTAAAAACTTAGCAAAAACAACCCCATAATAAAAGTTTGAAAAATCAACAAAGCACCCCCACCAACCTAACCACTGCCGGCCGTCGGCAACCACCGTAGGCCCCTAGAAACCGGCAACCTAACGATGCACGGAAGGTAGGAAATGGCCTCCGGGGGTCGTATGGCTATTTTCGACCAGAGATCTAGCCGAAAATGGCCAGACTTGACAGATCTAGCCATCGATGGCCAGATCGATGGTCATTAACCGTTGACGGCTAGATCTGGCCATTTCCAGATATGGCTATATCGGTGGCAGCTGCCGCTGGCTGCAGCAGTGGTTGCCGGCTGCAGGCGGCGGCAAGTGGGTGGGGGTGGTGGCTTAGGTGGGCTGCAATTTGTTTTGAATTCTAGGGTAATTTTGTCCAAAAAGTTAATTAATTTGGGTGAAATAGTAAAAGGTTATATTCATGTAAATAAATTTAAAAATAAGGGCATTATTGTCCTAAAATTTTATTAATAAGGGATAGAATTGTAACAAAAAAAGATAACACTAGTAATCTTAGAATACCTAAGAAAATGAAGGTAATCTGATTACCTCTAATATTATTAATAGTAACCACTATTGATATTTGAAGATTACCAGTATCTTATATTACTTGACAACCAAATATGGTAATCAAGTAATATAAGATGACTTAACCCCAATAATCTCCAATAATCCCCCAACCAAACACCCCCTCTGAGGTATCAGGAATAATCCTAAACCTCTACTGCTATAAAATCTATATCAAACGTTTGGGTTGATTTCAAAATAATTATAAACACATAAAATAACTTAAAAAGGTCAAAAAGATTTAATTTGTTTGGACAAAATTATTTTACATTAATTAGTCATTAAGATATGAATATGATAACAACGAATTACAAAGAGTTTACTATCTCTAATGATCTCATCAAGATTCGGGATCGGTCCTAGAATTACAATATCTTCTCGTTTATCATCTAAGAAATTTACAAAGAATTTATTATTTGTAATGATTTCGTCGAAATTTGGGGTCGGTTCCAGAATCACCATATCTAACACTCACGAATCTGAAGAACAATCTATCGAAAATATGGATGATACTGAGGAACTAAACCTCTTTTCAGTTGCTTTCAAAGACCTTACATTCTTTATTTAAACTCTTGTTTGTATTTAATTATTTAACTAAATAACTTGGGAAAAAAGGATTAACGTTTTGATCTAATTAATTATCTCAGATTTCTAATATTTTATGAACGTTTAGGAGTAAATTTAATTACAATAAGTTTGTAATATGATTTTTTCGATAATTTTAATTTTTTAAACGTCGGTTTCTTTAATATTTTTTACGGGAATTTGTTTTTCATAACTTTCTTAGATTGATTGTAACTAATGTTATGGATTTGGAGAATTTATTAATTAATTAATCCTAATTTGCGTTTGTATTGGAGTTTAACATGTGTATATATTTACACACACACACACAAAAAGGAATTACGTATAAATTACAATTCAGTATACGATATATCATCAAAGAAATTTACAAAGAGATTATGATCGTTAACAACTCGTCAAGATTAGGAATTGGTCCTGGAATACGATACATTCATAGAAAACCAGTTAGTGAATCTGAAGTCGAGAACCATCTGATGACAACAACGATGAAGAAGATGTAGACAGAGTTGATGTCAACTCATATCTCTTTCGACTTCGTTTTTTCTTAGGGCACGACTTGCGGCGAAATTCCCTTACTTGACATCTAAAGAATTATTATCACAATATTGAGGTGGTTTTGTAATTTAAATTTATTTTGAGACTTGGTTTTGGTTTCTTTGACGGTTTACCTCGACCACGGTAATCGGTATTTGACATTTTATACTATGCTAGACAAAAATATTCTTAGTTCTAATCTTCTTCAATGTTTAAGCTTTGGTTTGTATGAAGTATTGAATTATTTGTGGAAGCCTTTGATTGAATTTATATATTGAGAAATTATAATCCTAATAGGATTTGATTTATAATCCTAATTAATGGGGACTGCGAAGAAATTATTATTGACTCAAATTAATATGATTCCTTATTCTCATAGGAGAGAATGAGAGATAGAGCAATGGCCAATGGGTTTCCTAATGAGATAAAAGTTAGACCCCTGAGCTATGATATAATCACAAAAATTTCCCAATAGTTTCTGAAATGTAACAGAGATCCCCTTTTGTTAATGAACGGTAAACTGTTAATAATTTTCACCGCCACTTTTCTTTGCTCTCCGCTGCGCACCTCCGCATCTCCGCTACGGCGAGCCCAACATTTGACAATCTCCAGCTCAGCATGCTTACTTGAAGGTTACGGGGTTTGACACCCACCCATTCCTTCGTCTTCGTATCATAATTTTCAGCTCTGGGTTGCTGATTCTCCGTTTTTTACGCCATTCACTGCTCAACTTCCTTCGCATTTATGATGAATTGAAAGGGTATGTCTGATCCTTCATACTTTTTGATGTACTGTCATTGCTTGATAAAATATTTCTCAATAACTGTGGGCTAGCGTTTCTAATACTTTACTTCTAAAATTTAATCTTGATAAGTGTTTTAATTGACTTGTTCATGTCGTCTGTTGCTTCTATTTCCAATTTGGCTATAAATTAATCTGGATAGTGTTGAATTGAGAATTCATCGGAAATTAGAAGAAACAGTCGTTTGTTTTGCATCCAAAGGGTGAATATTGTATAATAAAAATTTATGCTTGTTAATGGACAGAATAATAATAGAAATTATTACTGCTTAATATGTTGTTGTTGCCTTTGATGACTATAAAAGATGTGTTTTTTAAATTATCTGCGTTTTTTGTTGCTTTTGAAATGTGAATGCTTTAGTATTTACTGTCATTTATTTTGTTGCTTTGATGAGTGTAAAGCTTGTGATTTTCTTGATGTGTCTGGGTTGGAACTATTAACAGGAGTTCATTTATTCTTTTTTTAAACGACTGTAAAGCTTAATTGGTGTGATTTGGACAATATTAGCCGTAGGAAACAAAGTTATAATGGGAGTATTGAAGATAGTGCGACCTTGAAGAGAATTGTGTTCGTAACTGTGGGAAAGACATGCTTTGATGCTCTTGTAAAAGCGTCGTACTTTGGAAGTTAAACAGGGGTTGTTTAGGAGGGGTACACCCACCTCGTATTCAAAGGGTCAAGGAACTTATGTGCCCACTAAGGTATTGTTCTACTTTTTCAATGGTTATTGTGTTCTCTTTTGTTTGTGGTGGTAATGGTTTTTCTTGTTTATGAATCAAAATGCAAATTAGCAATTTATGAGGGTGAAATGGAGAGTTCTGATAATGATTTATTGAGTATTTTGTCTTAGCTCATTTTTTTTTTATTTTTTGTGTTAAGCTGAAGTGGTTATGTCATTTGTAGGAAATTTTAAGAAGTTTAAGTAGTGAAAATTGAGGCTGAAGTTCATATATAAGCAATTCATTGAGTTGTTGGTTATTGCTGCTTTAAAACTAAATTGAACAGATTTAGTCGCCTTGGGAAAGACTGTTAACAATTCTTAAAACAAATTCTTTGCATGAGAAACATAGGTGGGCGAGACATGAGGAAAATAAAATTTGCTTACATTTCAGATATATGAAGGAAGGATGCTGGGAGCTCCAACTTAGGAGTTATGGAGGCTCATTATTTGGCCCTTGTTGATTTAAACACAAGGTAGGCAATAGCAATCTAGAATTGTCATCCTGCCAGGTCATGAGTTTATTTCTTTTGATTTATAATTTTTTATACTTATCATGTGTTTATTTTATTAACAGTCTCTTAAAAAAGGAGAAGATGGGTCCCTCGCCATAGACTACTTCACTTTTTCATCAAGCATTGCTGATCATCTGAGGTCCGCATCTCTTGTAATTAGTCATGCTGATAAGCTCATCTGATCATCTTTTTCTTTCCCTGTCCAGTCATTTAATTTTTCATTTTACTGGGAATATGCTGGTATTGTTGTTTGTACCTTTGTTGTACTGTGCATTTTATGCATGTTCATGTTAATTGTTATCCAAATAATTGGCTGTGTTTGAGAGAACATGATAATTTC